ATAAAATTAATGAACAAAATGGAGTACTTTACCAAAGAGATTGAAACTTTAAAACAGAACCAAATGGAATTATTATATCTTCCTGGAGAAATTACTCCTGTTGAATCATGTCCTATATTCCTAGTAATGTTCCTCACTCTGAAGTCTACTTTGATATTAATAGAGCTACTCCAATTTTCTTTTGATTAATGTACGTATGGTTTATCTTTTTCTAGTATTTTAATCTATCTATTATTTTTATTTAAAGTGGATTTCTTGGGCCGGCCGAGTTGCTCAATTGGTTAAGAGTTTTCTTAAGAGCACAAGCTCTGAGCAACAGGGTCACTGGTTTGATTCCCACATGGGCCAGTGAGATTTGCCTGAGCTGCGCCCAACCTGGTCTGCTGCAGAGCTGCCAACAGGTGGCAGGATGGCTCAGCTGGTGAGAGCACGTGCTCTTAATGACAAGATTGTCTGTTCGGTGGGCTACACCCACCCACAACTAAGACTGAATTGGCACCTTGAGCTGAGCTGCTGCCCGGATGGCTCAGTGGATAGAGCGTGAGCTCTTAACAGCAAGGTTGCTAGTTCAACTCCTGCATGGAAACAAAAAGTGGATTTCTTGCAGACAGCATATTGTTGAGTCTTGCTTCCTCCCTCCCCAATTTACAGTCTGCCTTCTAATTAGTTTCTTTAGACTATTTTTATTTAATCTAATTTCCAATATGGTTGGATTAAAGTCCACCATTTTGTTAACTGCATTCTATTGTTCTATCTATTCAGTTCTTTCTCTCTTTTTTTGTCTTCTTTTGGGTAATTTTTTATGAATCCATTTTAACTCCATTATTGCCTTATTATTTAGATCTCTTTTTTTTATTTATTTAAATGGTTGTCCTAGAGTTTACAATATTTACTTAATCAGAGTCTAACTTCAAACAATATTATACTCTTATGTGTTGTGTAACTCTTAAATTTGGTATAAAAGGAACATACCTCAATAAATAAAGGCCATATATGATCATCCCATAGCTAGTATCATACTCAATGGTGAAAGGTCAAAAGTATTTCCTCTAAGATAAGAAATAAGATAAGGGTGTCCACACTCACCATCTCTATTCAGCATAGTGCTGGGAGTCCTAGCCAGAGAAATCAGTCAAGAAAAAGAAATAAGA